AATACAATACAATACAATACAATATAATATAATATAATATAATATAATATAATATAATATAATATAATATAATATAATATAATGCCACCTGAGGCAGATTTAGTAATTTTGTGGCCCAGGGCATGGGACAGACATGGGGGGCCCTTTACTTCTCTGACTTCTTAATTAATTTTTAATATTATTTTATTTTAGACTTTTAGAACGGGGCCTTTAGCTCAGAAAAAAATATGCATTCATGCAATCTTTTGATTGCATAAAACAACGCTCATTAATACACAACATTTTGTGGCGACACAAAAAAGGTTAAATCATGTCATCTGGACCAGTTTCTTTAAGTTGGAAACCACTAATAGTGTATTAAAGAACAACATGTAAACTCAAAAATCTACTCTAAAATAACAAAGTCCATGCTCAATAATCCTGGTGTACAATCCAACATTTTTCAGTCAGGTCATCTGGTCAGTTTCTTTTTTTGTGTTGAAACGTTTCACCTTCAATCCAGAAGGCTTCATCAGTCAAGGAAACACACAACACAAAACTGATTCTTCCCCCAACAGCTTACTCCAAAGTGGAACAAACCAGTTCTGCTTGTGATAAGATGGTCTCTTTGGTACGCCCCTCCTCCATTGCTGGCCCTCTTCCTTGCTGACAGTCGTGTCAAACTGGTTGAAAACAACAAAGTCCATGCTCAATAATCCAGGTATACAATCCAACATTTTTCAGTCAGGTCTACTCTAAAATATTAACTTCTTTAAATATACACACAAAAAATTGAAGGTTAATTCTTCCATTTAGGCTTATGTTGATGAGTATGGGATTTAAAAAAAAAAAACATCATGAAGTTCTGTTTTTTTAATGCTTTACAAACTTTTAAATGTTCTAAAATATTAAATTCACATCCTCAACAAACTTTACTTCAGTCTTGCTTTAATAACCCCACAAGCTCGTGTTTTAATTTTTTGCTGTTTTGCTGTAATATCTTTGAATAATTTGTGGGCTTATCCTAAGATTAAAAGAGACATGACCTGCAAATCAAATAAAACACTGATTTTCTTATTAATGGATAATATAGAAGTCAATGATGAGTGTAGCCTATTTATTTATTTAAAAACAAATTAAGTGTGTACCTGTACATAAAAAAATGTGAAGGAAACTTATGTGTCTAAAAACTGTATCTTGTTTCCAAGTCCACCTCCAGGGTTTCTTTAATAAAGTTACATTTGTCAAAATTTAGGAACAATCAAGTTATTTGTATAAAAATTTAACTCTATAAAGAAGAATGGAGGAACACAAAATCATATTCAGAGTTTACAGACTGAGCTACACCCAAAACTACAACTAATTTAAACAAACAGAAACACAAAATCCAAGTTAAAGTGTGTACATGAAATACAAGGGCATCAAAAAAGAAAGGTAAAATAAAAAGGATTGTTATTTGTTTCATGATTTTGCTTTATTTTGTGCACTTGTGTTTTCTTTTTATTTGAGTTTTGTGTCTTTTATGACTCTCATTGGTGCATCTATCCAGCTGTTACTCCTGATTACCTATCATAGGATACTTAAGGCTGAGCCGAGGCTGTGTTCTATGTTTAATGTTTAAAACCATAAGAAGGAAAAGAAACTGTTTAAATGCCAGCAATGGTTAGACATCAGGAGGTGATAGTGTCAAATAAAGATAAGGCAGATGTTCTGGGTGAGACATTTACTGCAGTAAACTGTAACCAACATATTGGAAATATACGCAAAGAGCAAAACAAATAGAAACTCAAATATTATTCTGATACATAAGAGAGAGAGAGAAAAAATAAGAAACTCTGTCAACATTATGATGATACGACTATGAAATAACTTAAAACGGCATCAAAAGCTACAAGAGACTCAGCTCCAAGGGAGGACAATCCATGTTATGTTATGTTTCGATAACTTCCAGAAGCAACATTAAATATAATCCTAAAACTATTTAATAAAATTTGGAGAAAAGGTACAAATCCAAGAAGTTGGATTACTGCCATTTAATAAGCGGGGGAAGAATTATTCTGATCCAAATACGTAACTGCAGACAAATAGTTTTACCATCCCACTTATGTAAATGGAAGGAGAAAATAATAGTCAGCAGATTATCCTTGAACAGAGAGAAATAGTTAGTAATTATTTGTGTGGATTCAAAACAGGCCGATCCAGTGTGGATGCTTTAGTTAAAGTAAGATATTAAAATAAATAAATAAATAAAATGAAGTAATTATTACTGTATTTTATGACATAGAAAATACTTTTTTACTCAATTTGGAAGGAAAGACTTGCTCATAAAACTAGATCAAATCGAGATAGGTGGAAGGATGTGTGTATAGTTGGATTTCTTTACAGACAGGAGTGAGAATGACTATTCAAGAGATTCAAGGTGGAAATTGGCATACCACAAAGGAGAATAATGAGCACAATACTGCTAAATAAATCAAAAATATTCAATCCTAGCCTGATGTATCATGTCAGCACTTTATGAAGATGATGGGGCTATATGGATGAGGGGAAGGAATGTGTCACCTCTAGCAGAAAACAAGAAAGCCATCTATCCGTTATCTTCCATTTGTTCTGGAGTTGGTTCATGGGAGTAGCAGCTTGAGTAGAAAGGTCCAAACATCTCTTTCCACAGCCACCTCTTCCAGCTCTTCTGGGAGGACTCCATGGTGTTCCCAGGCCAGCTGACAGACATAGTTTCCCCAGCGTGTTCTACCCTAGGTCTTGCCTGGGGTCTCGTCTCAGTTGGACATGCCTGCAGCACCTTCTTGGGGAGGCATCCTTGCCAGATGTTTGAATCACCTCAACTCTGGATGTGTAGGAGCAACAGCTCTACTCCAAGTCTCTCCTGAATACCTGAACTTCTCACCCGATCTCCAAAGGAGAGTCAAGCTACCCTGCAGAGAAAACTCATTTAGACAGCTTGTATCCAGAAGTTGGCATTTTTGGTCACGTACCCAAAGTTTGTCTGGTGTCTGTCGATCTAAAAAAAACCACCAAAAAAAACCCTCAAATACAGATGGTGAAGGAACGCAACAACCTATTGTGAAAAAAAGCAAAACATATCACGAAGGAAAACAATAATCTGAGGAAATGCCTAAAACTTTCCCTAGAGTACACAAAAACTATGGAGATGGAAAACAAAAGCTTGTGGCAAAAGAACACAAAAGCCTATTGTGTAAAATAGTATATCACATCACGAGAAAACTTAAAAAAACAACCTATTACTACAGAATGATAAAATGGTTGCAAGGGAACACAAAAGCTAATAGAGAAAAAAAGAAGCAAAAAACAGAATTAAGGACTGTCTCCTAATTTATTTCACTCATACAAAACCCTTTCTGCCACTTTGAATAATGTTTTCACCTACGCAGATTTGTGGCGTTCCACATGGGTCAATCCTCGGCCCCCAAACGCAGACCTACAAAATAGTAACACTGAATAAAAAGACTCCAGTAAACACATTCCTAAAAAGATGCTTACTTAAGTGAGTATGTAAGTGAGTTTCGTTCATCACATAATGATCTCCGCCCCTCTTCCAGTTCTCTACCGCTAAGCAAGCAATTTGGTCATTTTTGGTCATGTTCAAAAAACAGGAACTATCGGAGCTAAACGTTACAGAACATAAGAGTTTTACCACAATTGTCTACTCTTCACTGTGACAACATGTGTACTGGAAAATGCTCCTTTTTTGTCGCCATCACTCTGTACCAGCTGGCGCTTCTGTCTGTCATCTGCAACATTCTGCTGTTCTTCCCTGACTGGAAGGTCACATATGCCAAAGAGGGAAACATTACTGAGGAGGTGAAGTACATGGGGGGATTCATTGGAGGGGGTGTTTTGGTGAGTTTGGTTTTTTTTCTTGGTTGATATCAAAAAACTTTGTGAAATGCATAGCTTTCTCGAGGATTTAAGAGGATTTTGTTTGTTTGAATATTTAAATTTTTGCAGATCTTTTTCAGTAAATAGATCAATTTTAAAAAGCAAAGTTTTATCAGAGTTCACATCTATCTATAAGAAATTAGCTTATGTTTGGGAAATAACATATGAAAATGGCTGCAACGTTTCTGAGATGCTGAATTTTTGTGGATATTTTGATCATTTGTCACCTGAATACAGGCTCTGATCCCAGCTCTTTACATCCATCTGACCGGAGAACAGGGCTGCTGCGCAAATCGCTTTGGGGTGAGTTAAATGGTTTTTCACCTGCTAAAGATAAAAATAAAAAATAAATCAAACACAAACACAACTCGTCTCCAAGTTCAGAGAGATCTGCAACACAAACTAAACTAAACTCAGTTATTTACTGCAGACAGATTGTTTAGCACCCCAATCTTGCGAAAGAAGAAGAAAGTTGTGCTTCATCATCGTTGCACAATATGTATGCACTCTTTTATACAGATAACACTACAGTTTAACATTTCATAACACCTCTCTTTTTTCCCTCCAGGTTCAGAACTTAGCTCACTGCAAAAGATGTAACTTTAATACGTGTCATGGCAAACAAAAAGTTAAAAAAAAAATTGTGTTTGGTCAAGTGTATCTTTGTTGTAACAATGCTTCTGGAGAATAAATTTTATACTGTTAAAAACAACGTGTGTATTTCCCTTTAAATGGCGCCACATTTGTTAGAAAAATACATTTGTGGGTTGAGCAATGGAGTGGAAAGTTTCGGTTAAACACATGAAAAACATGCCAAACAGCTTATTCTGCTATTGACTCTTGTTTGCAGCTTCTCATATTCCAGATGTTGACAATCGGGGGCCTGACTAGTGCCTAATTGTCAACACCTGTGGCTGTGGGCCTTGTTACAGTGTCTGCTGGATAGGACCCGTCCTAAAGGGCAAGTTCAAGCCGGTCTTCTGTAAATCCATTGAAGCATTGTTTGGAGCAAGTTAATAATTAGTCCCATCTTCACATTGAAGGCCAAATTTTATTCATGTTATTGAGAGACCATGAAGTGGGCGTCCCTCAAGGTAGGATTAGCAGAAATCCTACAGGTGCATCTCAAATAATTAGAATATTGTAAAATGTTCAATTTTTTATTTTTTTTTTGTCAATCATTTCAGAAAGTGAAACTCATATATTATATATCGTAGATTCATTACACAGAGTGAGATATTTCAAACCTTTATTTCTTGTGATTTTGATTATCATGGCTTACAGATAATTCAGTTCAGTTTTTTTATATAGCGCCAAATCACAACAAAGTTGTCTCAGGTCACTTTACAGGAACATTCACATAGAAAAGCCACTTAGTAAAGTTCTCTATCTAAGGAAGCAGCAGACTTGTTGAATCTTCACTTCATCGCAGTCTCCCATCCTGAGTAAGCACAGTGGCAACAGTGGAAAGGAAAAACTCTCTTTTTAAAAGGAAGAAACCTCCAGCAGAACCAGGCTCAGGACAAGCGTCCATCTGCTTTGACCGGAATAATGAAAAACTAAAATTCAATGTCTCAGAAAACATTCCACAGCCAACTTTTGGTACCTTTGTCAGTGTGGGCACGAGCTAAGTCCTTCTGGAAAATCAAACCAGCATCTCGATGAGGCTCATCAGCAGAAGGAAGCATGAAGTCTCTAAAATGTCCTGGTAGATGCTGTGTTGACTGTGGACTTCAGAAAACACAGTGGACCAACACCAGCAAAGGACATGGACCCAAACCATCACTGACTGTGGAAACTTCATTCTGGACTTCAACAATGTGGATTCTGAACCTCTCCACTCTTCCTCCAGACTCTGGGACCTTGATTTCTTAATGACATGAAAATGTACTTTCATCTGAAAAGAGGACGTTGGAGCACTGAGAAACAATCCAGTTCTTTTTGTGTCCTCAGCAGGTAAGACACTTCTGATGTTGTCTCTGGTTCAGGAGTGTCTGGACTTGAGGAAAGAGACATTTGTAGCTCATGTCCAGGAGTTAATCAGCTGCTCAGGGTGAGACACCAGGAGTCTCCAATCAAAGTCAAAGTCAGAATTTCTTTATTTGTCATACACACCACATGTGGTACATGTGGTGGAACGAAACTGTGTACACAGGGTCCCAGTTACATCCAAAAAAAAAAGTATAAATTGTAAAGAAAAACTGTAATAAGATCTAAGATGTGAACTGAGAAATATGCTTAACTAAGTATAAACTATAAGCACTAATAGCATAAAAACAATACGCCGAGCAGCAGCACGGACATGAGTCTGTGTGAGCAGATGAGTATGAATGAACACAGCAGCATGAGATCAGCAGCATGGATAATCAGCAGCACATATCAACAATCAAGTGGCATTACAGGGATTTATTTTCACAGTGATTATCCTGGTTAGGGATTGAACCTCTTCACAATATTCTAATTCCTGAGACACTGAATTAGTTTTTTAATTATTTGTAAGCCATAATCATCAAAATTCATTCAACCTTTATTTAAACAGGTTAGACAACAAATTAAAAAAAGGCTTGAAATAGGTCACTCATGTGTAATGAATCTACATAACACATTTGTTTGTACCTTTTCACCATATTCTAATTTTTTAGATGCACCTGTGCATATTCAGTCTGAAGCCAAACATCATCCTTTAATTTGCCAGTATGACAATGCTTACCCCTACAAGGTGGGGACTCATTAGAGATTATCTTATGATGTTGAAGAGAGGATGGAATGGCCTGCCTGCAGTCCTGACCTCACCCTCATCGAACACTTAGGTGTGCTGTTTGTTCCAGTGTGAGCAACACAACCACACTGGCTGACTTAAGATAAGGCTGGTTAAACATTGAGATGTCATCCCACAGCAGTGTGACAAAGCTGGTGAGCAGCAGTGGGAGGAGCCAAGCTTTTGTGGCTGTGTATGGTTTATCCACATGCTACTGAGGCCCCTATTTGTTAAACAAATGCATTGTTAACTTGCCAGTATGACTTGTTTCTTAAGGCTTCAGTCAATCAAACAACACAGATAAGAGTCAGTAGCAGAAAAATCTGTGCACCTGTATCTGCAGCTATGAAAGATTAAAAAAAAAAAAGTTTTTCATGGGTGCAAACCACAAACTCAACTCTGCTGCTCCACCGACAGATTTTTCTCACAAATTTGGCACAAATTAGCAGAAACAAACAGGCTTTCTAACAACAGAAGATTTATTGCCAAAAAGTAGTGTTACAAAAATCAACATTAAAATTAAACAAACACAAATTTTCTCTTTTTGTGCTGTTTATTTCAATGAACATCTTCCTATTTAGAATATTTTAACACTTTAATTTGCAGAATATTCACATTTTTACATTCAACTCTAAATAAGACAATGCAAAACTGAAATGTTTTTAAAAAGTGTTTTGATTATCGCTTGCTGCTTAAAGGAGAATGGTAGATGAGGTTGATGTTGCTGAGTCTGTGTGGCTATAACTCCGTTTTACAGATATTAATCTAAATTTAGATGCAGTAGTAACTGAGACTGATTCTCAATACGTATTCTGAGCACTAGCAAATTGCTCGAGATCTTTGCCATGAATCTACCTTATCTATCTGTTAGCAAAATTTCCCATAAACAGCAGGACAAGAGACTGACTGGAGCCAACTTAATGCAAAATGACTGTCCAGTTAGAAAACAGAGAATAGCTATGACACTGTCAGTTTTATAAACATTTAGCTACTACCTGTATTTGGCACAGTCATTGTATCAGATAATTAATGTTATTAACTTACTTTTATGTATATGAATGTTTTTGTACAATGTCCTAAGATGACTTCTGTTGTGACTTGGTGCTATATAAATAAACTGAATTGAAATTGTAGTAGCTGAGAGTCATCCACAGCCCATGTTCTGAGCGTGGTTTGAAAATGTGCAGTAAAATGTTTCTGACTTGTCGTTCTCATTTTTGTTTGGCAGATGTTCATTTCCATCGTATTTGCAGCTGCAGGTGTCGCCGGCGCCGCATACAGCTTCATTGTGGCGCTGCTCGGACTTTCCAGCGGGCCTCTGTGTAAAACTGAGAATGGGTTCTGGGAAACACCGTTAAAAGAGAGGTGATGAGTTAAATTAACTCTGTGATGCCTCTATTCGACTTTAAATAGGTCTTCTTATAGCTAAGTGTTTGTTTTTTTACACAGCAACTTCACCTACATATCTAATTTCAACTTGTGGACTCGGTGCATAGAGCCAAAGAAGGTGGTCCAGTTCAACATGGGCCTGTTCATCACTCTGATGGTGGCCAGCATCCTGCAGGCGCTGCTCTGCGTCAGTCAGATCATCAATGGCTTCATTGGATGTCTTTGTGGAACCTGCAATGAATCAGAGGTCATGAGAGTCGGGTAACGACAAACGATCTGGACTCCTCTTCCTTTTCTCGATATCTGATTGTTGTTTGTTTACATTTACAGAAAGAATAAGAAGGTGAGGAGGGGGCGTTTCTGAAGAGAAATCTGCTGGGAGTTTGAGTGCAGGGCTTCATTTTTCTGCTGAAAATGCCCATTTTGAAACTATTTTGTGCACAAGTTTTGTTTTTTTTTACTTTTTTTTTTCAAAATGCTTTTGGGCCTCACAAAGAGTTCAGTATCTCAACGTCTTAATAAAATTGCTACTAAGAATGGTTAAAATTGTTCAGAGTGGTTGAATTGTAGTTATTTGACAAAGTGTTTTTTTGCTGGAGGAAATGATGGATGGTGCTTTATTAGTATTTGCTTTTGAAGTTCTCCTTTTTTGTTGTTGTCAGTTTTAACCAAATTCAGTGCATCACATTGCAAGGAGTAACTCCATTTTAATCTCTGTAACTTTTGTAATTTGGCTTATGCACAAAGGTTTTAAATGCAAATGACATACACATACATTGTTATTCCCAATGGTAATTTTAGCTGCTTTTTGGGGGTGCTCAAAAACCCCTATATTTTAACTCAGCACCCCTGAAAAATAAAGAAACCATCATTAGGATTTTGTAAGAAAACAGAGGTCAACAGGGTAAAGTAAAGTGCTATGTGTTGTCATCATTGTATAATGGCAAAACTGGTTCTCTGCATTTAACCCATCACACCTGGGATCCACCCAGGTGGAGCAGTGATGTAAACGCCTGGGGAGCAATTAGGGATTGGGACTGTAAACAGTCCATATTGTGGAATGAGATGTCTCTTAATTTTATTTGCTCTGTTCAGACAGCGTCTGAGACCATTGTCCTAGATGGATGGGAGGTGTGTCTTAATGATCTTCTCAGCCGCTCTCTCCACCCTCCTCAAAATCCTTCCAGTCTGCAACTGGGCAGCTTCCTTCCCAAACAGAGATGCAGCTGGTCATGATGCTCTAAACAGTTCCTCTTAGAATGTGGTGAGGACATGGTGTGAAAGGTGTGATCTCTTCAGTCTAGGAGGAAGTGCAGGCGCTCCTGGTCTTTCTTCACTAGGGACCCAGAGTTTCTTGACCAAGACAGCTGATTGGTTATGTGCACCCCCAAGAACCTGGTGCTCTCCACCACCTCCACCTCTGTGTTGTTTATGAGCAGCGGCGTGTGATCAGTGTTGCCAGATAGAGTCGATGTTTTCCAGCCCAAAAATCTGTTAGAAACTGCCCTATCACACAAAAACCCGCCCAATCAGTATATTGTTATATTTACTGTTTGAACACACACACACAAACACACAAAACCCCCCACCCCCTGTAAAAACTAATAACGGCCATTTAATGGCTGATAACATCCGAAGCGGGAGCACATTTCAGGATCTGGTTATTATAGACACAGATTAAATGTTCAACATGAATATTTCTATATTTATCACCACAGGAATAGTGTTACACATATTAGTAGTTGTAAACACTCTTAATAATACATATGTTGGTTTAGTGCTTACCTTTAACCTAAATATTTTAAAGTAAACATTTTTAATAGTCACTTTAAAAGTTATAAATGTTGTCTTTAGTGCCCATTTGTTTTCCAAATGTATTAGTGTGTGTGAATGACAGGTAGCATTAACATCAAGCACTTTGTAGAATGGTGCTTTATGAAGTTCAGTGCATTTCCTTTATTAGTAGACCGGCAGTTCTGCCACATCCAATATGGCGGCTGCACCGACGTACTGCTGCAACGGGTCAGCCCCCTCAACGAGATGTCTACTAAATACCTCACCAATTCTCTGTTGTGAATGCACTGGCAGATGACAATAGCCAATTAGTGATGGAGAAAGGTCAGTGGGGCTTTGAACCAATAATGATGAATGATTGTTTGAAATGTGTTTAATAGGTTAACTCAAAAACTGCTGAACTGACTCCAAATCCACCCAAATTAGCCCACCCGCCCAAAGCAATTTTTACCCACAAAATCAGAATGAAAACCGCCCAATCTGGCAACACTGCGTGTGATGTGGTGATGTGATGTTTTTTTGAAGTCAGTAATGAGCTCTTTTGTTTTGTTGACATTTAGAACAAGGTTATTTTCCCCACAACAATTAACAAGGTGTGCCACCTCTTCCCGATATGCCTGATCCTCATTGTTGCTAATCAGACCCACTACCAATATTGTCCACATATATGATATGGTTGGTCTCAAACCTGGCAATGCAGTCGTAGGTCATCAGGGTAAGGAGAAGCACACTTAGAACACAGTCCTGGGGAACGCCCGTGCTCAGACTCATAATGAAGGTGGCGTTCCTCCCCACTTGTACTGACTGTGGTCTGTCAGAACGGAAGTCAAGGATCCAGTTCATGAAGGTGGTGTTGAAGCCCAGTGTAACCAGTTTGCTGACCAGGTGCTGTAGGATGATTGTGTTGAATGCTGAGCTGAAGTCCACAAACATGGGTGTTTTTCTCCTTCAAGTGTTGTAGGTACAGGTAGAGTGCTGAGGCGATAGCATCCACTGTTGAGCAGTTGGAGTGGTATGCAAGCTGGAATAGGTCAAAGGAGGGAGTAAAATTAGAGGTGACGTGTTGCGTAGCAAGACGTTCAAAGCACTTCATCACGACGGGCGTAAGAGCCACAGCGAAAGTCATTTAGGCTGACTATTGTTTGTTTTTTAGGCACTGGTATGATTGTGGCTGCCTTGAAGCAGGAGGGAACAATGGTTTGCTTCAGGGAGTTGTTAAAAATGTCGGTCAGCACAGGGGCAAGCTGGTCTTCTGCACATTCCTTGAGTACTCTCCCTGTTATGTTGTGGTGTCCTGCTGCTTTCCTGGTGTTTGTGTTTTTCAGTGTCCTGCAGACCTCCACTGTTTGGAGACTCGTCAGCAACAACTCTCAGAAGTTATTTTCTGTAGGACTTTATTAGTTTCTCACATGTTTGTGGAATAATTTTTGGTCCATTCTTCTTCACAGCATTGTTTCAGTTCATTGATGTTTGCAGATGTTTGTTTCTGCATAGCTCCTTTAAGGTCCCACACAGTCAGTGCTTAGTTTTCTATTTTGAGTTTCATTTTTATTTCTTACAGTGTTTAGTTTGTTCCTTACCTCCCTCCTCAGTCAGTTTCCTCTGCTTCAGTCTGGCCACGCCTCTTCTCACTTGTTCTCTCTTCTCAGTCTACATTCCTGGGTCAAAACCATCCAAAGCTGCCTTCTCAATAACAAATGGCAATTTTCCCACTTACTCGTCGTCAAACACACTGGCATGTGTCAGTCACATGACTGATTTTAGTCACTCTAGCAGGAATGGCACATCAATCCACTTGTATCAAAAGTCCAGATTTTAATCTACACACCAGTTTTTAAATCATGTTGATTGACCAAGCCAAACCAGATTTATGATAAATAATCCACGCCACATCTTTTTCTGAAAATCATCGTCATATCTGAAGAATGTACGAGTGAGAGGCTGCAGTAAAGATGGGCAGTCTCAGAGACAAAACACCCCCATTACCCTCCAATTTCACCTACCTCCGCCAAACAGATAAACCACCACCTCCCCCTTCCTTCCCGATGGAGGCTCGAAGTTCATGCACCAAAAAATATATCGGAAGAAGAAAACGACATGGAAGTTGAATGAAGTTCAGCTTGATTAAGTCACAGTGAGAGCGAGAGTGAGTCATGAAGTCTGAGAGATTTCTGATATTTAGCGTGTTTTTGTTTTATAGTTAGAGTGTAGTTTAGTGTTGTGTTTAATTTAGTCAGTTTTTGTGTGTTTGAGTCAAAACAATGAGATGATTTATGAATGTGAGGAGGAGCTGACCCAGAGGAGGACAGAACTACAGAGTCAGAACATATCAGACAGAGGAGAGGATCATGAAGGACGAAAACAGCCTGAGTCAGACAGTGAGGACTTTGTTGATGAAGAGGGTGATCATGATTTGTTTTAGAAGAGGATTAGAGGAAGAGGGAACAGAGCCCCACTAGGAGGTCTGACTCTGTGCAGAGCATGGGGTCCAGAACCTCTCTGACTGGGCCAACAGAACCAAACTTCAGCTCAGAGCTCTGGAGAACAGAGGAGGATGTAGATGTTGACACGGAGAGCGTACTAATGGAGGAAAATATACTTTTTTTTAAATTATCGTAAAATAAATACTTTGTCAATTTAACAAAACTGTAGTGTAGAGTTTTTAAACAAAAAAAACCCTTAAAGAATTCAAATGGAAAAAATATATTTTAAATTATATATTTTTATTTCAGGCTGAGAAGGCGCTAAAGGACTGACTGGATTTTGTGTAAAAAATATTTAAAAGTAGTATTTATAAGCAGTTAAATACAGTAAGGTGGTTGATTTCCCCCTGAGGAACATGAACCGTCATAAAGTTAAAGTGTAAAACCATCTTATTCAAATGTTCACAATATGTTCACAATATGTTCACAATATGATGCTTTGGATGTCGATCAGATTTCACTATCTTATCTGTAATAATGTTCAGTCAGGTCATTTGGATGTTTTTTTTTTTTGTTGCTGAGATGTTTCATCCTTCACCCAACGGGCTTCAGTCTGAGGAGCCACAAACAAACTGTGTCCCACAAGCAGCACACTCCCACAGTGGAAAATTAATATGTAGTGAATGTATGAGAACGTTTCTGTACCATGCCGAGATGACTTCTGTTGTGACTTGGCGCTGTATAAATAAACTGAACTTGAATTGAACTATAAAATATTTCAGTTTACAGAGGAGCCATGATGGCTGCGATAGCTCGGTGGTCAGTGCCGCGGTCTTGTAATCCAGAGGCTGTGGGCTTGAAACTAGGTTGAATCAGGAAGAGCATCCAGCTTAAAACAATTGCCAAATCTTTCATCAGAGTCAGTCAGAGTCAGAGTTTCTTTATTGTCATTCGCACCTCATGTGGTACATGTGGTGGAGCGAAATTATGTACACGGGGTCCCAGTTACATCCGACAATAAAATGTATAAGAAAAACAGTAATAACATCTAAGATATGAACTAAGAAAAACATCAACTAAATATACACTAAGCACTCATAACATAAAACATTGAACATCAGCACAAACATGAACATGAGTCTGTGAGCAGATGTGCACGCATGAACACATCAACAATGAAACAGATCAGCAGCAACATGAAACAGATCAGCAGCAACATGATATGGTTTTTCACAGTGATTATTCTAGTTAGAGATTCATGAGTCTAACAGCCTCAGGGTAGAAGCTGTTCCTCAGTCTAGTGGTTCTACACTTAATGCTCCTTAACCTCCTTCCTGAGGGGAGTGGGGCAAAAAGTGTGTGTGCTGGGTGGGTGGGGTCCTTCATGATGCAGGTGGCCCTCTTCCTGCATCTGGAGGTGTAGATGTCTGTGATGGTGGGGAGACTGATTCCAACAGATTTCTGTGCAGCCTTCACCACTCACTGCAAAGCTTTTCTTTCTGCAGCTGTGCAGCCTCCATGCCACACATTGATGCTCGAGCACAGGATGCTCTCCACTGCACACCTGTAGAAGGAGGTGAGGACTGAGCTTCCCAGACCAGCTCGCCTCAGCCGTCTGAGGAAGTAGAGTCTCTGATGAGCTTTCTTGATCAGGCTGGTGGTGTTGTTGCTCCATGTGGGTCAGCTCGCTGTAGCGTCTCTTGAAGAAGAGAGCAGCTAAAGGACAGTTACAGATGAGCTCACGGATGACAAACCATCAGCCACCTCTGTGCTTAACAGCAGGTATGAGATGTTTTGCAAGTATCCTTTGTTTGGGTTTCACCAAACATGATGCAGTGAATTATGGGTAAACATCTGTACCATTGTTTCATCTGTCCAACAGATATTGTTCCACAGGTTCTGTGCTTCATTCAGATGAAAAGTTACTAACCCAAGTTGTGAGAAAAAGAGTCTCTCTCCGGGGAACTCTTCTAAACAAATTGCATGTGTCCAGTCTACAAATATTTTGTCATAGACTGCAACATTTAACCTGCTGAGGCTTGTAGAGAGTTCCACTGTCTGATCTCTGGGTGAATTTACTGGGATGTCCCCAGAAATTGAGGTGAAATTTAAATTATTTTAGAACTCAGTAAATCATGTTTCATTATGTCCACATCAGTAAAACCCTAGGACTGAAATAGGCAAGACTTTTTCCTTCTCAGCACAGTACATTTTCTGGGGCCAAAGTCAGCTCATATTCATTCAATTCATTCAACCTTTATTTAGAAAGAAAAGTCACATTGAGCTTAGAAGACTCATTTACAAGTGAGATCTGTTTAGACAGACAAAACGTAATGAAACTGGACACAAGAAGGAATTGTATACCACAGTCATAAACAAAAGTACCGCATTTGCACATTATACACCCGTTGACAAACTACTGGTATTATACTATAGCAGTGGCCTGGACAAGTAAAGACCTTGTATAATCGTTGGCCTTGATTTGTGACCTTGACTTTGATGCTGGCATGATGAAAAGATAAGCAACACTTCATCTAGTGATGATGCATATGTGTATGAGGTTTCTTTAAATTATCTTGAGCAGATCAGAAGTTATGGTCCAAAGAAGACAATGTTTACTGACATACAGAGACTATCCCATACATCCATATTCCGAGGGCGTATAATTAGAAAAATAGTCATATTTTGTTTGTTTTGGTGGGGAGACCTTACCTTCTGATAAACTCTTTGTAACACCTGTAAATGTTCTCTTAGTGAGTAATGCTGCCTCGCCCAGCTGCTTCTAAGCGACCTCATGTTTAGCAAAGCAGAGCTTCTTCTTGCTTTCAGTTTTCCATACAGTACTGAAACGATGAGTTATCTGCTGCCATCAGTTTCTCTCAGGGAAGCCAACAAAGGTCCTGTCAGTGTTTAACTTCTCACATTTGTCAGGATTTTATTGATGTGAGTCACACAGTGTGCCGCTACAACAGGTCTAAAGTTCAACTTCTCTTTGTTCCTTCCTGCCGTCACTAGGTCAACATCACCAGAACGCTGGAGGACAATTAAGAAATGTCAGCAACACTATAAATAATCAAGTAGCAGTTTGTTAATCACAGTCTAATAAAAATCAATACCTGTTCAGCAACAAATATGTGCAACCCCCCTTTCCAAGGCTTCATGTTTTCGTCATTCCTTCGTGTCTCCCCTTTAAAGTAAGTCTACTGCCCCGACAGCCTTTTGTTTTGTTTATTCATATTAAACATTTTACTTATTCTACTGGAGTCTCCTTGATTTCCTGCTCGTGGGTTCCACACACGGAAGCGATCGTGTCAGTGCTGGGATTTGAACCGGTGTGATCTGTTCGTTGAGAGGCAGCATTTTACCAGCTGCGCCACCGTGCTGCCGTATAAAAATATTTGACTTTTAAAATATTATCTAGCCAGATAGGATGTTAACAAAGGCCACAAGTTTGACACATTGTATGGTCTGGAGACAGTGACCTGGACAAAAAGACAGGAGAAAGAACTGGAAGAGGCAGAAATGAAGATGTTGAGGTTCTCTTTAGGAGTGACGAGGATGGATAAGATTAGGCATGAGATCATCAGAGGTACAGCACAGGTTGAACAACTGGGAGATAAAGTTAGAGAGACCAGACTGAGATGGTTTGAACAGGTCCAGAGGAGGGACAGTGGGTATACTGGTAGAAGGATGTTAGAAATGCAGCCGCCAGGAAAAAGACAGAGGAGATATATGGATGCAGTTCGAGAGGACATGGATGTAGTTGGAGTGAGGACAGAAGGTGCAGAGGACAGAGATGGAGGAAGGTGACGGTGGAGACCCCCTTAAGAAGAAAACTACTGAAAGAAGAAGAATGTCCAAAGAGAGAGAGAAAACACGCCTGACTCTCTGACTGCAGTCACATTCTTAACCACTAAGGCAACCTTCTTTGCCTTAAGTAACACAACAAAACAAGCGTTGTGTGTCACTATGACTGCAGGGGATGAGTCACTTCCTGTCCCAGAGTCTATTTGTCGTTCTTATCTGAGGGACGCTCCACCTCCCAAAGCTAAACTGTATCGACTCTGAAATCAGTTCATCCAGATTGAGACGAGTCTCTCTCAGAGGACAGAAACTTCTCTGGGTTTTGTTTCCCCCCACAGCAGCTGGTCAACATGTGTACTGGGAAATGTTCCCTCTGCATTGCTGTAACTTTGTACCCGCTGGCGATCATATCCATCATCTGCAACATCGTGCTGTTCTTTCCTGGCGGAGAGGTTAAATACGCCAAAGATGGACACATTACGGAGGAGGTGAAATACATGGGGGGTCTCATTGGAGGGGGTGTAATGGTGAGCCGTCCTTTCTTATCTTTAACAGTTTAAAATATGGATTTAAAACTGTGTTGGCTTCGTACCAAGGTTTAAAGGTTAACCAGTGTGGTCACTTTTGATCCTTTTTGTGTTTTGAGATGCATTTCGTGCAGAACTTGTTTTTGAAAGCAAGTGTCTCGCTGCAGGTGTTGATTCCTGCTCTTCACATTCACCTGACAGGAAAACAAGGCTGCTGTGGAAACCGCTGTGGGGTGAGTCGGCCTCACTTGCTGAGGGCTGGGTTCAATATAAATCATTAACTCTAAAGAACGCACAAGATTGTGTTTACTGCATGCAGACTCTCTCCAAGCTCAATGTAGGGGAATAATTAATCCAACCACTGCAAATGAAATGAAAACAAGACCTAAAAATTAAATTTCTTGTTAGATGTAAATAATTATTGGAAAAGAAAATTCAGCTCACTTTAGTTCACTGTGACTTTTAAGCAGGTGGTAAAATAATAAATTATTACACAACTTTCATTACCTGATAATTTTTTAAGTGCATCCTAATTTCATTTAAAGATGAAAATCTAAAAGTTTACGCCTTTTACATAATTGGATTCCTATAGCTTTGAAGCGTTCATGAATCATTTCTGAGTGCGACTTCTCTTCATCACAAAAAAGGTTAAATCGTGTCATCTGGACAAGTTTCTGTTTAGAAAGCACTCGTTTAGTTTCCACCTGAGTAAAGTTTATTTACGCTGTGTGTGTCATGAAACAAGTACTGTGAGAAAACCTGGAGGAGTGAAACAAGTCAAAACAGGACCGACGAGGAACTGTTCCCTCCTAAATTCTTCGCTAAACCCTTTCTGAAAAGTTTAGAGCTGTTTAAAGGGATTGGTTCGACTCCTCGGACCGACAACATCAAAATGTGGGTGGAAAAGGTGAAACACCCACACCTGTCTCCACCCTCATTTCTCCCACTCTGGGCCCTTGAGCAAGGCATTAACCCCCACTATCTGCTCCTCCGAGCGCTCTAGATAGCAGCTCTCTGCTCCACACAGACAGCTGTGTTACAGTGGTGTGTGAAAGTTTGTGAAGCCTTTATACGTTTCTATATTTTTACATCAATATGATCTAAAACATCATCAGATTTTCACACAAGTCCTAAAAGTAGATAAATGAACCCAGTTAAACAAATGAGTCAAAAATATTATACTTGGTCATTTATTTATTGAGGAAAATTATCCAATATTACATATTTCTGAGTGGTAAAAGTACGTGAACCTGTAGGATTATCAGTTAATTTGAAGGTGAAATTAGAGTCAGGTGTTTTCAATCAATGGGATGATGATCAGGTGTGAGTGGACACCCCGTTTGATTTAAAGAACAGGATCTATCAAAGTCTGCTCTTCACAACATGTTTGTGGAAGTGGATCATGGCAGGAACAAAGGAGATTTCTGAAGAGCTCAGAAAGAGTTGTTGATGCTCATCAGGCTGGAAAAGGTCACAAAACATCTGTAAAGAGTTCGGACTCCACCAATCTAGAGTCAGACAGATTGTGTTTAAATGGAGGCAATTCAAGACCATTGTTACCCTCCCCAGGAGTGATGGACCAACAAAGATCACTCCAAGAGCAAGGAGTGGAATAGTCGGCGAGGTCACAAAGAAGCCCAGAGTAACTATCATTGAGTATTTACAAAAGTGCTATACATATAAAATGTATTATTATTTTAATTATTATTATTATTGCAAGCAATTGAAGGCCTCTCTCACACTGACTGATGTTAATGCTCATGAGTCCACCATCAGGAGAACACTGAACAACAATGGTGTGCATGGCAGGGTTGAAGGAGAAATTCACTGCTCTCCAAAAAGAACATGGCTGCTCGTCTGCAGTTTGATGAAGATCACGTGGACAAGCCAGAAGACTGTTGGAAGAATGTTTTGTTGACAGATGAGACCAAAATATAACTTTTTGTTTAAATGAAAAGAGTTTTGTTTGGAAAAAGGAAAGAACCTTATCCCATCTGTGAAACATGGTGTGGTAGTTTCATGGTTTGGGTCTGTTTTGAAGCATCTGGACCAGGATGTCTTGCCGTCATTGACGGAACAATGAATTCTGAATATCAGAGCATTTGAAAGGAAAATGTCAGGACACCTGTCCATGAACTGAATCTCAAGATAAGGTGGGTCACGCAGCAAGACAATGACACTAATAAGAACACAAGTGGTTCTACCAAAGAACGGTTAAGAAGAATAAAGTTCATGTCTTGGAATGGCCATGTCCAAGTCCTGACTTTAATCCAATCCAGATGTTGTGGAAGAACCTGAAGCAGCAGTTAATGTGAGGAAACCACCAGCATCCAGGGTTGAAGCTGTTCTGTACGGAGGAATAGACTAAAATTCCTCCAAGCCGGTGTGCAAGACTGATCAACAGCTACCAGAAGTGTTGGTGCAGTTATTGTTGCATGGGGGGGGGGGGGGGGGTCACACCAGATACTGACTGCACAGGTTCACATACTTTTACCACTCACAAATACGTAACATTAGAACATTTTTGGGGCGATGACTTACATGGGTTGTAGTGGAGACTACACAAGGAGGCAAAGATAAAAGGATGCAAGATATGACAATAAAGTGTTATATTGTTATTATATTGATCCTTATGCACAATATATGGGTCAAAACGACCAAATGTGATCAACTTGTGAAGTTAACGCCACACACACACACACACACACACACACACACACACACACACACATATATATATATATATATATATATATATATATATATATCTTTTTTTTTTTTTTTACCTCTGGATCTAATGACACACACACATAAACACTGACACTAACACCATATACAGATTGAGCTCTGGAGCTACAGCTAGCATAATAAATTTTAGCTCTGGAGCTAATGTAACTTTTCTATTTTTTTTAATGTATTTCTTTGCTAATTAGCTTCAGGGTTAATGCGATACCTGAATCATCTCTCCATTCTCCTCTCTGTCAACGTGCTCTGGTTCAGATAAAAGGGCTGAACAATGTCCAAATGTCCAACATTAACAAGCTGAATGGAGCTCGCACAGAAGCAATCTTTCTACATCATTTACCCACAATGCATTGCAGCATAAATAAAATGATGTCCGTTATGGGGTGCCGTTTGTAAAGTTGCACAGTCAACAATTAACATCAGTATTTTGGTTTATTTAGCTTTTAATAAGAAAAAATAGGTTTTTTTTTCAAAGTCATATTTTTGCCATATTCATACATTTATAAATGTCATAGTTCCCAATTGAATATTTAATTTACAAGATAAATATTTAGTTTACAAACTAAATATGTAGGTATAAATTAAATGTTTAGTTAGTAAACTAAATATTTAGGTATAAATAAAATATTTATTTATTTTACTAACTAAATATTTAACTTGCAAGTTAATAATTAGTTTGTAAACTAAATGTTTATCTTTTAAATTAAACATTTAGTTGGGAATTATGATATTTGTAAACGCATGAATAACATGGTGAAAATATGACTTTGAAAAAAAAAACTAATTTTTTTCTTATTAAAAGCTAAATAAACCAAAACACTGACGTTAATTTCTGACTGTGCAACTTTACAAACTGCACCCCATAGTCCATGTCATTAATTTAAAAAATGTATACTTAGAAACTACACAGCCTACAGTATTTTTACGGTCTCCTTTTTATAGCTGAAGTAATTGTCTTTTTAATAGCCCCACTGTTCTGTTTGGATCTGTTTAAGAACTGCCACAGAGATGTTTCTGATCTCTGACTGTTCCTGGATCCTCACAGATGTTCCTGTCCATTGCCTTTGCTGCTGTGGGCGTGCTCGGCGCTCTGTACAGCTTCGTCGTGGCCGTGCTCGGTCTGCAGAACGGGCCCCTCTGTAAGATTTTGTTGATCTGGACAACGCCTTTTAAAGACAGGTGATGCGCGGGAAGTTGTTCTTGGTGAGTTTCTAAACTTCTGGTGATTCGTAAAGCTTTTTGCTGTTTTTTTTCTTCTCCTCAGGGAAAACAATTACCTGACTGATAATTCAATGTGGGGCTTTTGCACGGAGCCTAAAGACATCGTCCAGTTCCACGTGGGGCTGTTCGGCACGCTGCTGGCGACCAGCTGCCTTCAGCTGATCCTCTGTGCAGCTCAGGTGATCAACGGGCTCTTCGGCTGCCTCTGTGGAACCTGCAACAAGAGACCGACTGTCATTTAAATAAAACCAGGTATTTAAGCCAACATGGTTCTCAAATGATTTACATCTCTAAAAATAATTCTGTTTCTGTATTTCTTTCTGCAGCTGTTGGGATCATAAAGAAAGGCCTCCAAGCTGCATGAAATGTTTCCTTATATATTTTTTCCATTGTGTTTGTTTGTTTTTTACACAATTTGTGTGTTGTTTTTTTTACACCCTGCTCTAATCAACACCAAAATCTTAAATACAAGCAGTATTTTGTACAATTATTTTAACTAATAAATTGCATCGATCTTAAATCAGTAGTTCAAACTTTTTGGAAGTGAGGCAGTTTAAAAAAAAAGTATGAACCATGAGCATCTTACCTGTTGCAGACAGCCTTGGTTTTGAGAAATAGTTTTATTCTGATTGGATTGATGAGCTAAAGGCTAGTCTGAGCAGGGAAAAACACCAGAGTGGTTTGTTGCTGTCTTCAAACAACTTTAACCACAAATATTTTATTTATTTTTATAAATACTTACAGACTATATACATTTCATAATTATTCCACATAAATAAGCATGTATTGTGAAAAGACAACAGCATTAAATGCCATTTATATGAACTGAAGTGACAATTTTGAGGCTGAAGTTTGGTAATGGTGGACCAGCCATAAGCTCCTCAATCAGGTTATTTTTAAACTCTTTAAACAATTTTCCAAACTGAGGATGTTCGAAGAGTTATCCGCAACAGGTAAGATACTGTTTATGACCTTTCTACAGAGGTTTATGTAAAAAAAAATAAAATAAATTAAGCTGATTTATTAAACCTTAAAAACAAGCATGAAGCAGAAAAGCTGCAACAGTTTTGTTTTGTAGCGTACAGACAGTATATTAGAAGATATAATTATTTTCCTGTGCAATGTTTATTTCAAGAAGCCCAAATTATGTTCATGAGCAGAATTAACATTTAAATTTGAAATTCGAGTGCCATCTTATAGATAAGACGTCCTCGTTAGGAGTTACAGGATCATCACGTTCATCTTATGTTCGTTTTAGGTCACTTTGATCAGTTTTTCAGATGATTGGTCAAAAATTCAAGGCAGCTTATTTAAAATGTGACAAGCTGATCATGTTTTTCAGTTCTGTAAATTCAGAGTGATTTTGATCCTTAAACCCAGTATGACCAGTCCCATTTATGGGAATAACTTAATTTAGTTTGTGGTTTACTCTTGTATATGCTGAATATCTTTTATTTTTGATATGCAGAATTAAAAACTGAATAAAAAGTGAGAATTTTTTTTCTAAAAAGGCAAAAAAGAGCAAATTCAAGACAGTCACTGATAACATCATTATTATAACCAGTTTATATTTAAATTGTAAGCAAAACAAATCACGAAATATCCAAAGTATCTGTATTTCCTATCAATAATTGAATAAAAACTGCTAAATAAACTGATGATGTGAACACAAAGTAAGGTAGTTGACAGCTTGTTTGTTATTTGTTTCATAAAAATAAAAACTTCAGAAAACGAGAAGAGGCAAAAACCCTCGACTGTGTGAAGAACATCACTGTCTGCACGAGGTCTTCCTGCTGTTACAGGAAGAAGATTCATCGTGAGATCTCGGAGATGAGACGCCCTCGTTAGGAGTTACAGGATCATCATGTTTGGTTTCTATCTGCACAATTCTTCCTCGCTGCTTAAAAGACGTTGTTTGACAATCTGGGTCAGATTCTGCCGCTTGGCTCCGTCTCATTTCTGAGATGTTCTGCTGGAAATAGTTTTGTAAATTGATATATTAAAAAAATATATATATATATATAAAAAAAAAACAGGCTGGGTCTTCTTGTCTCTCTCATCTTGTTGCCATGACAGCAACCTTAGCATAACTAATAATGATAATAAAACAGGCCCAAAGCATACTATCTCCACCTCCATGCTTGACCATACGGATTGTGTTCTTTATTTTTATTGTTTCATTTTAATGGTTAAAGTCCAAACTCGCCTTCTTACAAATGCCCAATAAAAGAAAAATAACTGGTCTTGTAGAAAAATATATCTACTATATTCATTTCATATGTCTAAATAAAAAAAAACTTTCATATCTGATATACTTTTACTTTTTATGTTATGACAGATGAAGAAAAACTCTGGTTTGCTGATGACAGTTTTTCTGATGCACTCGTTCCACCAGTGGTGCTGTGTCGAGGGTTCTGGGTTTTTCTGGAACATCAGAATGCTTTTTAAGCTGCTGCCGTGGCAAGAAGAGCTTCCGTTGATGGTTTAAATCAGATCATATTTCTTTGTCCAGCAAAGCAACACTTGGGTCACTCTTGGTTTGTTTCTGGAATAACTGACCCAGCTGTAGGAACATTGAGCCCCAACCCTTCATTTTATTTCAGTCCCAGCTCACATGATATAAATCTGCTCCATCTTCATTAAATCTAAAACATCTGGAGACTGGTTTGGGTAGAGCAGATGAGTTGTTGGGAGAATATAGTTTAAATGATTTAGTTGAATAAATCTGTCTCGTATTTGTAAGAATGGTTTGTGAATCTGGTTTTACATCTCTGCATTGCGTACATTTGGTTAAATCTTTACCCTATTTTTCCTTATTAGATTAGATGTTCATATTTAGTTACACACACACATGCAAGTTAAGGAACATGTCTGCAAAAACCTGGTGTAACAGTGAGGTAAGAGGCTTCCACAGCCTCTGGGACTCCTGAGTATTTGTCAGTGTTGACAAAGTCTCGGGTCCAGTTTTTGTTACTGCCGCTGTAAAAACTTTCATGAACAACTTCAACACACGCTGCCAATACGCAAGTTTCTGGTGCGGTGAGTTTTCAAAAGATAATGTTGGAGGAACAAATCGACACGGAGCAGAGGGTCGGAGAGGATCTGAGTGTCTGCACATGTGCTACTGGATCCAATGGGCTCAGTGGTTAGCACTGTTGCCTCACAGCAAGAAGGTCCTGGGTTCAATCCCTGGAGTCTTTCTGTGTGGTTTGCATGTTCTTCTCGTGCTTTCATGGGTTTTTTCTTCTAGGTACTCTGGTTTCCTCCCACAGACCAAAAACATACGTTAGGCTGCTTTCTGGCCTCCAAAAGATCTGTGACGTCACTGGGATTTGCCTGATCAAATAAAGGTGAATTAATTAGACTGTTAAGGAAACTCTCTTGAATGCTATAAAACTTTAAACTAGGCACGATGTAAAATTGTTTTATTTAGAATTACAAGGTGTGATCATGTCAGAAAACGTTTTATTTTATTTTATGCATCATAAACTCCAACCACCTAGAATAAAACGCAGAGAAATAAAAGATTTGTTAAGATCTTTATTGGGATCGTTACTGCAGCTCCTACGACTAGAAATGTTAAAATAACTAATTTGCAATTTATGTTAGTTCAAATTGTAATTACTTCCTAGAAAAGAAAAAAACAACAACAACAACTCGAATCCAAATAACTTAAGCAACACAAGTGTTAAGAGTTTTTAAAAGTCATAAACATTGAATAAAAGCTGCTCAAACGTTCAGGTGGCACAAAATGTAACAACCGATTTGGAAACATGTTAAAAATGTGATTCAAAAGGCAAAAAGTTGGGTCCCAAAAACTAAAACTAATAAAGCAGAGAAATACAGAACTGCACCTTGAGTTTAAAAGTTTAAAACCTATCTCGAACCTCCCTCTGCGTTAAGACCGAGGCCTGCCGGGTGCTTCTGAGCCAAGGGCAGCAGGAGGGTGAACACTTGTCGGCAAACAGTTCTTCTGTTTGAACACTGATAAAATGATGAGCTTCATGTGGAGCAGAATGAAAACATGGCCGTCACACCAAATCTTTGGCAGCTTGCATGTAGTGTGGCACTTCAACTGCTCATTTTTTATCTTAATATATAAAAAAGTTTATTTTGTTTGCTTAAAACGAGCCAATGAGAGCGGATGAGACTCTGAGGTAGAAATAAAAAACACGGGCGTGCCGACAGCAGCTGCTCGTTTTAATACTCAACTCACATACGTTGATGAAACAGAACAGCTCTAATTAAAACTCGACAGATAAATGTAAACGCGCTCGAGTCAGATTCTGCTCGTGGGGGGAGTGTGGCAGTTTTAGGAACCGTCTGGGTTTGGATCGACGCGCTGAGCTCAGCCGTCGAACTGCTTCATCATGAGCTTCCGGCTGGCCTCGTAACCCAGGAACAGAGCGCCGTTAGCCGGGAAGGTGCGCACCATGGTGGGGGTGAGGCCCGAGTAGAGCGCCCTCACGCCTGCACACAGGAAAACGGGATTATAATCTTGAGAAATCTGGGGTTACTTTCCTTCTTCCTGCTCCTTACCTTCAGTGTGAGCGATGGTCATGAAGGTTCTGCAGAAGCCCGCCTGTTTGCCCGTCATAGACATGACCTGGATCCGGGATTTAACGCAGTCCATAGGGTAGACCACCAGCCAGAGGCACGCCCCGCCGAAACCGCCGCTGAAGACGGTCGGAGCGACACCTTCAACAATAAAAGACATTTAACTCTTGTATCGTCTTCTGGGGAGAAAAACCTGCCACACGTTTATTTCCGTGTTTTATTTATTCAAGTAATGTGATTTTTTTCTGACAAAGTCTAAAAATATTTTCAAATACCCTCATAACCAGACGCTCCTCATTCCTGAGGGGGAAATGGGCCAAATTAAAATACAACTTTTTAATCCCATATTTCCTATCAGAAAACAAAGCGTTTGCTTTTTTTTCACTTTGATAACTACACTTTGTATTTTTATATAAGCTGGTGCTCCGCGTTTATATTCGAGAGCCTCTGATTAGAAAATCTGAAGAGCTGGAGTTCAGCTCAGTCCAGAAGAGGGACGCCTTTCCAAATCCAGAGCTGCCGTCTGTCACCGCGTCGGAGAAAATAGTTTGTTTGGGTGTAAATAGCACAAACTCACTTGTAATGTGCACAAGTAAACATTTGGTACTAAAAAGCTGTTTGACATGCATGCAGGCTGCAGCATGAGACGCTCCGCGGCTGACTGCTGCTGGTTTACCCCAACGCGGGACGTCATTAGCGCCTCCTGCAGCTCCCTCATAGATCTGGGTCAGTACAAGATTCTTCCTTTCTGGGTTGGGGGGGGGGGGGGGGGGTCACTGGTGCCCATACCCAGCTATCACTATGAGAAAGGCGGGGGACACCCTGGACAGGACTCCAGTCCATCACAGGGACACAGAGACAAACAACCATTAAATCTCACTCACACCTAGAGACAATTTAGAGTTACCAATCAGACAACATGCATGTTTTTGGCCTGTGGGAGGAAACTGGGATACCTGGAGAAAACTCACGCATGCACAGAGAGAACATGCAAACTCCACCCGGGAAGGTTCCAAGCCGAGATGGTGTAGAGGTAGGGCACCCGACTTGGGACCAGAAAGTCGCAGGTTCAACTCCCCGCCATGCCCACATGTCTTGGTGTCCTTGAGCATGACACCTAATCCCTAACTGCTCCCCGGGTGCCTACATAGCTGCCCACTGCTCCACCTGGGAGTATCTCACATGTGATGGGTTAAATACAGAGAATCGTTGTATGGGAACATACGATGACAACATATAGCACTTTCTTTCTTTCTAAAAAAAAAAAAAATAAAATAAAATAATAATTTGGAAAAAAATAAAAAAATGATTAGAGAAAAAAAACACGTCCACATTCAAAGACCAGGAGTAAGTTTGACCAGAAACGAGGCCTCAGATGTTCTGGAGGGTCGTCACAAAACTCCGAACTGGAATAATTTTTCAATCTGCAAACAATTATTTTGGGTGTACTAACGGAGGAAAATGTTATTTTTTCCTCTCCAAATATTGTCGTGAAATAATTATTTATAGTGATTTTTTAAAATATATATATTAAAATGTGGAGTTATTTTCAAACAAAAGACCCTTAAAGAGTTAAAATGTCTATTTCAGGCTGAGACAGCTCTAAAAGACAGACTTGTTTTTTGTGGGAACAAAAATACATAAAAAAAAAAAAAAAAAGTGTTTTTAATCAGTTAAATAAGATGATTTGAGGAACATGAATGTCCATGAAGTTAAAGGACGATACAAGAGCTAATCTTAAATCATCAATTCTGGTTATTTTTCACATTAACACCTCACTTCGTTGAGGCTACGTTAGTCTTTGAAAAGAATAAATTGGAGAAGTCTTGTCCCGTACCTATGTCGTCTTTGTCACATTGCATGTAATCAGCGAACGCCGTGCGCCAGAGCTCGTAGGCGCCGAAGAAGCAGAAGTAACCCGGCACCTCTCTGGCGATGGTCGGGATCAGGCCCTGGAAGAACCCCAGCGGGCCCTGGTTCCTCATGATGGATCTCACCACCGACCACACGGTGCTTCAGACACAGAGCAAATAAATAAATACGTCAGGTTAATCTGCTCAAAAGCACAAACCGGAAACCAGATCAGTGTAAATCTCGTGAGAATTGTTTAAAATCAAAGTTAATAAAGTTTAAATGTGTGACAAAAACCACGACTGCATGACCTTCTTCTCTGGTAGTTGCTTTAAAAACTCGCTTTATTAAAAGCTGGGAAGTTTTCTAACCTGCAACCCCCCCCAAAAAAAATATATACATATTTTACCGTGCAGCACCACCTAAAGGCTCAAAGAGGAATCAACCGTTTTGGCAGATTTGGGAACAAACAGGTGAATAAAAACTTATTCCATACACGACTCGGACTCCGTCATCCGTCACTAATGATGCTGTAAAGTTTTAGAAACTGTTCAACTCTTCCATCCTTAACCTCTTTCCGCGTGCTTCCGGTTTTCTTCTTGCTTTTCTAAATGAACAGCAAGTGATCATTTCTTATGCAACCGTAAACTTTAAAAATGTCTGAACAAAAAACGAACAAATATCTCATTATTTTACACCTTTAGAGCCATTTGAACCACATCCAGGTTCTGTGAAGTGCTTTACAGTCCATTTCTCACTCTTTCACACACTCAGAGTACTTTGTGGTGTATATTTACACGCTTCACATGTGCAGCAAGAGACAGCCCTAACATTAAAGCCACTGCCATTTTCAGTTAACGAGTGCCGTATTTTCCGCCGTACACGTCTCACCACCCTATAAGTCGCATCAGTACATATTTGTCTAATAAAGTGGATAAATCCATAAATATGTCGCTTCGCCGTATACGTTGGCCGCGGGAGCATGCACGGGAGGATTTTAACAATAATTTAACAAGATTAACACTTAAAAACAATTGTTTGTTTGCTTGAAATTAAAGTAAAGGTGTGTCTCAGTCTAACTTTTGCTTAATAAGTGCACTTTGACGGTCAAATCAGCTGCATTTCAAAAGCTGATTCGCGTAAGTGGGCATGCACAGAGGGACGAGCCGCTGTTCATTTCTTTGAAATTGAACAAGTTAACCGCCTAAAACAATTATTTGTTTGCTCAAAATTATAGCAAAGGTGTGTCTCAGTTGAATTTTTGCATAATAAATGCACTTTACTGGTCAAATTAGCTGCATTTTGCCTGGGCGGTGCGGCTGGTTTGACTTGCTCCAAGCAGTGAGCAGAACGAAGGTGGGGGTGCAAAGGCATTAACAGCTGGTGAAGATTCTCAGTCATCCTGGACATGGTAAATTCAAAAAAGTTCAAGAAAAAAACAATAAAGTATAATAAATAAAGTCCAGTTGTTTTTGTCTTGAACTTTGAATTTGTCATTATAGCCTCGTTTACCTATTACATGATACAACGGCATGCCTTACTGCTTCTAGTACTCTGCTGCCATCTAGTGGCTGAAAATGGTAGTGTTCAATTTTTTCAGTCAATGAATGGAAACGGTCATATCTCAGTCAAAAATTGGTTTATAAATATGGGAAAAATCCAAAAATACGTCACCTATAAGTCGCAGGGTGTGAAAATTATGCAAAAAACGCAACTTATACGGCGAAAAATATGGTACTTTCTAATCTGTACCAGACAACAAATAGAATGGAGTTGACGGTCTGAACAAAGTATTTTTCTCCATAATAAGATATTTTGTGTGTTGTCTTGTTCCATAAGATATAAGACCACATGCAACCATCATATCAAAGCAGAACCAACCGATACGGTCCAAAACCCATGAAGCTAATGAAACTAGCCTTCCTTGAAGGAATCACTCATCACCTTTCATACTAAACTACTTAACTAAACGCTAAACTGAACTTGTGCAATTATTTAGCACTCAGAGTATGTGTAATCACTAAAAGGTAATCAGCTGTAGATGTTTGTTTACGTCCCTTCTCAGAGTTTCATTATAATCCATCCAGTTTATGAGAATGTTTGTCAACAGACAGACGGACAAACAAACGAGCAGCAGGCGATGAAATCAAGCTTCACTCACTTCTGACTTTTGGCGATCTTGCCCGATGCCTCCATTTCATGCATGGCTTGCAGTCGACACTTCACAAGCTCGGTGGGGCAGAGCACCAGAGAGGAGAAGATCGACGCAACTGATCCGGCGCAGGCTTTCTGCACGTCACTGACACAGAGGAGCGGAGAATCAGCCTTCAACACTCAAAGACGTGTTTCACGTAAATCAGGAGGAGCGCCTGGTTACCTCAGCACGGCCTCTTTGTGCAGTCCAGCTGCAAAGCGGATGACCTGCTGGCAGAAGCCGTAGCTCATAAAGAGTACCGAGTTCTCTGCGATGTTGGCCATCAGCGCCGGCGTGGTGCCCTGGTAGAGACCATGCACGCCTACTTGTTTGTACGTGGACACGAGGCAGTGGATGAAACCTCGGTACAGCGTGGGGAAGGTCTGCATCTTCACCTTGGCTGTGTCCAGAGGCTGCCCGCTGAAGACACATGCAGCTCCCCCTAAAGTCACCAACAGAAATCAATGGAGGCAGGCAAAGCTCAAATGTTGTAAAAAGCTACAGGGAAGCAAACTACGCGTGTCCTGAGGGCGAGATAGGCATCGGGGAGCTTTGCAAACTGTTGCAGAATAAACACAAACGAAGAGAAACGAGCCGGAAAAAGACAAGAGTCATCAAAATGACCCGCTACGTCAGACTAAACAGTTCTACGGCTTCGTAATTACCTTAATCCAGTTTCTCTTTATTGTTAATGCTGAAAACAATAAGTCAGTTTAGCAACTCCTTTGCAAGTTATGTAAACACCTGTCTGCAGACTTTAGGATATGCGTTACCTATAGCTCCTGCAGAAAGATCGATGATGGCCTGCACCACCGGGTGTGGAGCCATGTTGGTCAGATAGGGCCTCTTCTTCTCTCAGCAACCTTGTAAAAACAAAAAAAGGACACATTTTTGTTAAAACCGTGCAAATAGTATGTTTGTTTAACAGAGTTATCAGAGGGAACATGTGCGGATCAAATGCAAAAAGAAGTGCAGCTGCTGGTATCTGTAAAACTTACATATGAGTAGTAAAAAACTAGTATTTGTATATTTCAAATTCAAAATAATTTACTTATCATTCTGTCTTTCCGAAGGAAAATAATTATTTAAATGTAATTTTACAACACATTTTTCTAACATAAGGTTGTGGGATTATAGCAAAGACTAAAAAGGCAGTTTTCTTCCAGTCCAGCTAAACTACCAGAGTATTTCTACTGTTAAAGACCGTGAAGTGACCGTTTCCAGAGAAATGTAACGTGAGCGGCCCGTTTGACCTGTCGGGTAAAATGTCACCACCAGGGGGCGACAAAACGCGGCCATCTGCTGCTGGCTTATAAAACATTACAAACAACGGAAAAGATGCTAACTTCTGTCCTTTTGGGTCATAATTTTTTTATATTAAATTGATAAACTTGGTAGTTGTCATATATATTTAATAAATAAAAAACCTCGCAGCGTCGAGTTTACCTCGGGGCATCAAAGAGTCCCGGGGGTAAATGACCCTGTTGACACACCGACGCTAATATTCACGGTCAACCACATGCTAGCTTCCACCATTGGACCGAACCCGCTCACTTCATCCCGGTGTTATCTCGTCATGCCCAACATCTGTCCCTGCCTTCACTGACTACGTTCAATGAACGGATCTTCCATCAAACCGCCTGGAGGAGAGCGTCATTTCAAAAGAAGAGCGCTCACTCTGACGGAAATTCCAGCTCTCGATCCTGAACATTAAATATTTGTTTAAACTGAACACATTAAAGATAACACGTATAAAATGCTGCTTTCATAAGAATACTATTAATATTATGGAAAAGCGTTGATTTTAATAACTTTTACCTCCTTTTTTGTTACAAGACGCAAGCTTGATACAGAGTGATCCTCCTACTATACGATCTATGTTCAGAAGCCGGATCGAACGGTCACATATCCGGTTTTGGTTTTTCAAAATAAAGTTTCATTGCTGTTGAGAATGACACAGCGCCCCTCAGTGTTCATTTGTAATAGTTGAAGCTTGTTAAATAATTTAACGTTCACATAGTAAACATCAGAGAACACAGCAGAGGCTCATCTTTATATACAACTATAAACAGCATTGTTTTTAACATGACGTGTAAAGAACATCATTATGCGTCTTACTCTCTTTATCCCAAAAAAAAAAAGAAAAACAAAAGGCAAGTTTTGTCCAAGTCTGTATATTTGTGTCTGTTTTTTTTAGCACAATATTTCATGAATGATATAAAATAGTAGGAGTAGGAGAAGGCCCTTTTGCCAAGTTCAGTCTGTAGTGTTCCCTCAGTGCAGATTGAACTTGGCAAAAGGGCCTTCTCCTGGACTCCTGTTTCCTGGAATATCTTGCAAAATGATCTGAAACTCTCGACCTTGACCTCTCTAAGTGGCTTTAAGAATCTGTTGGACTCCTGGCAAGGACCAATGCAGACATGTTCCTGTTTTTAGTTTTTTACATCCACCTTATAATCTAGCTGTTTTTGTTATGTTTTTGCCATCTTATTTGTAAAAAAATAAAAAAATAATATTCTGTATGCCTTTTTCTAGAATTGCGCCGCTCAAGGTGGCTGCATGTTGGAGCAGCTCTGTTACTTTCATTCTGAGATTTTGCTTTTGGAAACATTAATTCCTCTTTTTCTGGATGCAAATCACATTTTTTGGATTATCGTTTCCTCTTGTATCAGATGCTGTGCAGCTGGAAGGATTTTTACTGAAACTGTTTTAGTTTTGGACATTTGTTATGATGCGTAACCATGGCAACAAGGCAGTTTTCTACAACCAACAGCAGCTGATTACCATCTCAAAAGCTCAAATAATATCTCAACTGCAGCCCCAAATCTCAAATGAGTTGAAAATTATGTTTTGTGGACGCATTCTCATCTACCTGCCAGCTGTGCTCTAGTGCCTGACCACTGAGATCCTGGAACTAGCAGGAAACATGGCTCATGACAGCGGAAGGACGGGATCATCCCTTGGCACCTACAGTTGGATGTCCGCAGCAATGAGGAGCTCGGCAGACTGCTGGGAGGAGTGGCCATCGCTCTGGGAGGAGTTCTGCCCGGCATTCAGATGGTCCTACAGCCTGGGGGAACGGAGAGGCCAGCCGAGTCTGGGTGGACGAATCGGACGGCATCTGCAGCCAATTTCTTAGGATCCACTGTGGGATGGACCTTTACAAGAGATTCTTCCTACCTACAGCCATCAGTATCTATAACATCTCTTAACAAAATGAGGATAACGAGTTACAACAACAAATAATTTCCATCCATCCATCCATCCATCCATCCATCCATCCATCCATTCTCCTCCACTTATCCGGGGTCGGGTCGCGGGGGTAGCAGCCTAAGTAGGGATGCCCAGACTTCCCTCTCCCCAGCCACTTGGGCCAGCTCTTCCGGGGGAATCCCGAGGCGTTCCCAGGCCAGCCGAGAAACATAGTCCCTCCAGCGTGTCCTGGGTCTTCCCCTGGGCCTCCTTCCCGTGGGACGTGTCCGAAACACCTCACCAGGGAGGCGTCCAGAAGGCATCCTAAACAGATGCCCAAGCCACCTCAACTGGCTCCTCTCGACGTGGAGAAGCAGCGGCTCTACTCCGAGTCCCTCCCGGATGATCGAGCTTCTCACCCTGTCTCTAAGGGAGAGCCCAGACACCCTGCGGAGAAAACTCATTTCGGCCGCTTGTATCCGAGATCTCATTCTTTCGGTCACAACCCAAAGCTCGTGACCATAGATGAGGGTGGGAACGTAGATCTATCGGTAAATTGAGAGCTTCGCCTTTTGACTCAGCTCTCTCTTCACCACGACAGACCTGTACAGCGCCTGCTTCACTGCAGACGCTGCACCTATCCGCCTATCGATCTCACGCTCCATTTTTCCCTCATTTGTGAACAAGACCCCAAGATGCTTGAACTCCTCCACTTGGGGTAGGACCTCCTCCCTGACCCGGAGAGGGCACTCTACCCTTTTCCGGCTCAAGACCATGGCCTCGGATTTGGAGGAACTGATCTTCATCCTGGCCGCATCGCATTCGGCTGCGAACCGCTCCAGCGAAAGCTGTAGATCACGATCTGATTAAGCCAATAAGACCACATCATCTGCAAAAAGCAGAGATGCAATCCTAAGGCCACCAAAACGGATCCCCTCAACACTTTGGCTGCGCCTAGAAATAATTTCCCTTTGGGATTAATAAAGTATTTTTGAATTTGAATTTGAATTTTTATAACTGTCTATTGTTGTCGCTGTTGTCCATTGTTATCATTCTTTGTTGAAATCAGGTCTGTCTTGTAAATTGAGTCCTCGAGGCTCAATGGGATTTACATGTCTAAATAAAGGTGGAATGAAAAAAAAAACATCAGAATGTGGTTAACATTTGGAGTCATCTCAATTCAAAACTGCCATCACAGCCAAATTCGTTTAAAAAACAAACAATAAAAGGTCCACCTTAATTGGTATTAACCTAAAACTTGGTGTGGTTGCAGCTGAGCCTGACCCTCGACATAAACTAATTGCACAAGAATTTTACTTAAATTTTAATGAGTAATTCGATAAACTTTACAAACCAGGACACAAGCAGCACATGCAAATGCTTATTACTCACACACACACACACACACACACACACACAAAAACATATTGTCCAAAAGTTTATTTTACATTAGTTTGAACACTATGAATGGAAAGTCTACATAATTTGATATTTAGGTGAACCAAATGATATTTAATATCACCAATTTATAAATCTCTACAGCTCAAAAAGTAATTGGTATATCTTAGGAAAACCACTATTTATTTGAAACAAAGTACTAAAAAAAAGCATGGTTTCATGCCAAGAAAGAGCACCACAGATGCCATCTTTGTTTTGAGGATGTTGATGGAGAAGTACAGAGAGGGTCAGAAAGAACTCCATTGTGTCTTTGTGGATTTAGAAAAAGCAAATAGGTGGTGGTGTGGTGGCGCAGAGGTTAGAGAGGGTGGGCCTGTGATCGGAAGATTGCCGGTTCAAGCCCTGGTGCCGACAACATCAAAAATGTGGGTAGGGTAGGTGAAGCACCTACACCTGCTCCCACCCTCATTCGCCCCACTCTGGGCCCATGAGCAAGGCCCTTAACTCCCATCTGAAAAAATGAAATGAAATGAAAATGAAATGAAAATGAAAAAATATGAGAGTGCCGAGGGAGGAGGTGTGGTGTTGCATGAGGAAATCTGGAGTGGCAGAGAAGTATGTTAGACTGGTACAGGACATGTATGAGGACAGCAGGACAGGGGTGAGATGTGCTGTAGGAGTGACAGATAGCTTTAAGGTGGAGGTGGGAGTGCATCAAGGATCTGCTCTGAGCCCCTTCTTGTTTGCTCTGGTGATGGAATGACTAACAGATGAGGTCAGGCAAGAATCCCCGTGGACTATGATGTTTGCAGATGACATGGTGATCTGTGGTGAGAACAGGGAACAGGTGGAAGATAACTTGGAGAGGTGGAGGTATGCACTTGAAAGAAGAGGAATGAAAGTCAGCTGTAGTAAGACTGAGTACATGTGTGTGAATGAGAGGGAGGAGGTGGAACAGTGAGGCTACAAGGAGCAGAGGTCACAAAGGTGCAGGACTTCAAGGACTTGGGGTCCACTGTCCAGGAAAATGAGGAGTGTGGTAAAGACGTGAAGAAAAGGGTCCAGGCAGGATGGAGTGGATGGAGAAAAGTTTCAGGAGTGATTTGTGACAAAAAGATGTCAGCAAAGGTCAAAGGACAAGTTTACAAGACAGTGGTGAGACCAGCTATATTGTATAATCTGGAGACAGAGACATGGACAAAAAGACAGGAAAAAGAACTGGAAGTGGCAGAAATGAAGATGTTGAG